TTATATTTTAATTACAGCAAATGCTGTGGTTCCGCTTGCCTTAAGACAAGGAGGCAGAAATCTAACAAGTGTTGTGAAAATTTTAATTTCTCATGTCTACAATAAATACTGCAGCTCTCCGGTTTTACTGTCTCACAGGAAAAAAATGCTATTCCCTCAGCACGTAGAAGGAGAAGGGCCCATCGCCCAGGACATCGGGGACAAAACTTCAGGGGATCTGAAGTGCAGGAACCTTCAGGTCAAAGCACATATTTTGTACATGCCCAATTGGAGATTTTTAAGACCAGTTCGCTTGTTCTTCCCCCTCCTTTTAGCAATCAAAAATTACCAATCTAGCCCAGGCTAGACACTCTAGGTATCTTATATAGAGCAACAGAGAGAGAGCAGGGTCTCTAGAGGGTAATTTGTCTACCCCTTACATCTGGATGGTATGAATCACATCTGGATGGTATGAATCGATCTCTGGAGATACTACCACTCTTCAGTGACTGCAGAAGGAACACAGATGACAGCTGGGACAACACTGCTTGATTCTTTTGAAAGAATCCTTTCTGATTGCTAAAGGCAGGTGACAGTCCCTGATCAGGTTGCTTCCCAGTCTCACTCACGGGTACCTACCGGAACTTGGACGAGCTGCCATCTGACCAGGAGTAGAGGTTCTGACACTCTGTACTATTGTCTACCTCCTCCTTTTTCCTCCTAAGCCCTATCCAAAAATCTCCATCAGAAGCTAAGAGACTCTCGATAAATTTTTCAATCAGTCTTTGCTCTGCTTCTGTTTCAATACTGACTAGATGTCCACCATCAGCTCTGCAGGCAAGGTGTGCTTCTTCATAGCTGATCCTGCGTGAAGCATCATGAAAATAAACTATTTTGTAGCATGGTTGCTGCGTTCCACCCCGGCAAACTGTCTGTCCTGCAGAAATGGAAAGAAACCTGTTACAGAAACTATGCTTGTTAGTACCAAAAGTGAATGCTAGTACTTCCATTTGGTTGAGTTCTGCACTGTACGTACAATAGTCTACATGGAAAACACAACACAGGTAAAAACCCTCTTGTATTACTTGACTGGCAAATGGCATCTCCAAACTTTTCTTACGGCACGTAACAGTTTAGGTTGATCTGCACAGCACTGTTCTTTCATGTCCTGCACTTCTCAGCCCCTTCATGAATTTTCTGCGATTTGAAGACCCTAGGAGTTCCTTACGAAGAAGCAATGCTGTGCCAGAGAGCATGCTGACATGTGCAACCTTTTAAAAAGAGTTCCTTTACAAGGGTTCAAGGAGGCTTTTTAAAATTATTATTATTTTTAAGGAATTTAAATGGCTAAAATTAGAGATCCCCTTACACAAGCAGAGATAACAACAATTTATCTTCTGGGGTATATGTAATAGTTTCATGGAGTATATACTGCAGTGTATCAAGACGTGTTCACGCAGTCCAATTGTAAGCATTGCTCTGCACTGTAATGTTACTGACTGCCCAGGAAGTAAACAATGTCTGTTTTCAGACTGTCATAAGCCAAGGACTTTCTCATGCATGAAGCAGCATGGCTTATTTTGATTACAAGGAAAGTAAAGATCAAAGTGAAAAGATACATAATCTAATATTATGCACTTGTATGTTTCTCAGCAGAAGAGTCCCAATATTTAGACTGTGGAAACAAACAGTTTTGTTTTACTCAGTAAATATTTCTTTTCAAACACGCAGGCAGACACAATCTGCTAACCTATATGTTTTTACAGAAGAAAAACATTTAGCAACATTTGTAATGTACTCAGAACAAATGGGATGTGAAGACAGTTCATTATAAAACCCTCCATGGGATATATGCTGGCTTTTCTTTATTCTTACATGCTCCTGCATGGCCACTCTAACAGTAGGAATTTAAACACCTTTTGTACCGGAATTTTTGAACAGTTAAGTACTCAGAATCACAGAGTCTGCTAACATTTTACACAGAAATTAAAACTGGCTGTACTGCAAAAGCAGTATTTAAACATACATCTCTAGGCATAACCTGTGTTTCTCTTGTTAACTTAACACTCATGCAGGCTTGGTGAAAAAGGCAAAAAACCTTACCTCTTCTGAGGGATATGTCCACTGCTATTGTGAAAGACATAAGAAAAACACAGATGGCATATTGTTATTAAAAAACTGCAGCAACTGTGTTGAAAAATAGCGTCACAAACCGCACTCGGATTCTTTTCTGATACACAAACATTTTTTTTTCCCCATTAACTGGCAGAAAATCTTTGTCGTATCAGCCAAACTTGCCAGCGCTTTCAGCTAAGGAAAAATTTATTGTAGTTGATTACTGTCTAGACTTCACTGCTAGTTAGGTTTCCAAATATAGTTTAGGTAACAGAGGACAATTGGATATGTAGCTCTAACCAATACTGAAAGTGTTCCTCATATTTTCCCCTTATCTCCTCATTGCCTACATGGGATCTGCCTCAAAGCCTGCTGACTTCAGTGAGCCTTGGTAATGCAAGACTAGGGATGAGTCAATTATACTGAGAAGTAACAAATTCATGAAAAGAAATACATCTCCAACCCCACAGCTGGCAGCTCAGCCCTCTAACTCACTCCCACAAAAGTCCTACTGCGGACAAGAACATGGCAGAATTAAAAATGTATTTATAGATATAATAAAACTACTTGCTTTATGTTGGAATAACATGAACATTTCACGGGTGACAGTGTTCAGGCTTTCTGCTGAATATACCAACCTATCAAGTCAGGCAGAAACTTCCCCCAGACTGGCTATTCTGTGCCCTAAAGCCAGACTAGACTACCTACCTTGGGCACTACATCCAAAAATACTGCTGGTCCAGCCTTGAGCTGCCATATATCTGTTCCTGTGAAAGGCATCTAAATAGGCGACATTCCTTTGCACAAAACCAGGAGGACAGACTGATAATCAAAAGAGACTTTGTAGAGGAAGAGTGAGACAACCTAGCGTTGGCTGGAAACTCAGCCAGGCTGGTAATCCCCACTGAGGGTCGGATGACAAGAGCAGTTCTGTTGGCCAGGGCAGCCCTTAAAATTCCTAGAACGGAGGCAGAAATGCAGCAGAAGGGTTTCTCGTTGGAAGAGGAAAATGAAACTGGACTATCGGCGGGCCCCCTTCACGACCAGGAACGCAGGGGTGCTCCCACCCAAGGCGGAGGACACGGGGGTCTCCCCAGGGCAGGGCTACCTCCCGCTGGGGAGTTAGAAGGGAAAAATCACCGCGCAAGCTAGCGCACACACATCCTTGCCTATGTCGCAACGGCTGCCCCGGGCAGCCAAACCCTACC